CATTTGGATGAGAGAGAGAGTGTACTTCATAGAAAGAGTAGGTTCTTCTCTATATCAATTTTACAACTGTCCTTTTGCATTTGGATGAGAGAGAGAGAGTGTACTTCATAGAAAGAGTAGGTTCTTCTCTATATCAATTTTACAACTGTCCTTTTGAATTTGGATGAGAGAGTATGTACTTCAGAGAAAGAGTAGGTTCTTCTCTATATCAATTTTACAACTGTCCTTTTGAATTTGGATGAGAGAGAGTGTACTTCATAGAAAGAGTAGGTTCTTCTCTATATCAATTTTACAACTGTCCTTTTGCATTTGGATGAGAGAGTATGTACTTCATAGAAAGAGTAGGTTCTTCTCTATATCGATATTAATAATCCATCGCATTAATATACACTACCAGTATTCACTGCATATTTGAGCTATTTGACATTTCTGTGAAGTGCATACTCTCTCATTCAAATTCAAAAGGGCAGTTGTAAAATTGATATAGAGAAGAACCTACTCTTTCTATGAAGTACACTTGCATTAAAATATGTGTTATATGATTTACATAACAATATAAATAATTTGGTTATAAGAAAATACAAAAGGTACTAGTATTGTTATATGAAAGAGTTCAGCAGTATGGTATAATTATTTGTAAATAAAGATTGTACTGTATTTTAATCCAACCAGTATATCTTATTTAAAGTCCACTAACATTTAGGTGATATTTCTGTCGTTTATAGCTGTAGTTGCAGGTTGACATAAGAAACAATGCAACTGAATAGTTAGTGATAGAAAAGCAAAAAAAAAGTATGTAACATTTGCTAAGTAAAAATAACTTTAACCCTCTCCAAAAAACAAAACAAAAAAACTGCCACTCAAATATTTGCAGTAGAATCACGTCCAATTAGGCCTATAAAATTTAAATGCAGTTTATGTGGGACATTAAGTTTTGTAACATTACTTATTTTCATATTGTTTATGAGTGTATTGATTGAATTGTTCTCTCCTATACTTTGAATAATATTCTTAAACAATAAATAATTTCATCTCCTTTGTTGTCTAATCTCTGTAACTTGAAATTACCTTATTATTACTATTAGTTTTTAATTTTTATTTTACATGTAAATAGTCAAATTTAATGTACGTTTTAAAGGTTTTTTAATAACTATTATATGCATATGTTTTAAGTTATGAAGAAAAAAAAGTTTTTCACTAAATTCTTAGACATACTAAAGATCTTAATATTTTTGTTTTGTAAGTTCCTTACAAATGAACACTGATATTTATTTATATAACCCACTTTTGAAATGGAGAACATTTCTTAATTATATATTTTTTCATATTTTGTTATATCTAGTTTTGAATTCACAAAAAGAAGGATTAGATATTGTAGAAATACAATTTCAAAAATCAAGATAGACTATAGTAGTATATATTATCCTGTTAGTGAGATTTATAATTACCATTTATCAGGAAATGTTATTGCAATTCTCGAAAGCTGAAAAGTTTTTGTGTTGCCTTTTGTGTAAATGATGCATCATCAGAACTTGCACCATGTTAATCAGTATATAATAAACAAATAGTTTTGTACCTGTGGATGTAAAATGCAGCTTTGTGTATAAATCATTTATACATAAACCTTTCAATTCCTTCAGACCAAAAGAATGGTTGAGATTGTACAACATTATTTATCATCAACCTTACTGCTCTGTACTTTACTTTGCCATATTGAACGTCAAATGTTCATATTAGTCTTAGGTTAAAAATGACAAATTTGTCTTCTAATATCATGTTTTCTAACACTATAAATCATCTCAGTGATGTGCATAAAGAAAGGTATTCTGAGAAACTGAATAGCTTTAGAGTTTTGTGTTTTGTATCCATATCTTTCACCAAAGACAGTTGTTATGCTACTGGTAATATGTAAAGCTTTACTCTTTCTAACTCAAAAAGTGTTTTCAGCTATTTAATTTTCCAATTAGGTTTAGTACTCAATTTTTTTTTTTTCAATTTGTGGTGATACCAACTTAATATAAGACATATTTACTGATACTTGATAACAACTGAGAGCTGCAGTTTTAAGCTACAGAGATCTTGCACATAATGTCACAAAACTATCAATGCCACCATGTAGAACATCAAACATTCCCTTCTAGCAATTCATATCAATACAAAGTTGAGAAGAAAGTTGTGTGTTTATAAATCTGTACTAGTGTTTTCTATAGTTATAGACACCTGAAAGGTTTAATTTGGTTATATGCTTTTTTTCTTGTAGAATTCCATTACTCAGAATCAACATATAATAGAAGAAATCAAAACAGCCATGCAATGGGATAACAGTGCTCTAGGAGCTTGGCTGGAAGAACAAGTTCGTCAGGAAGAGGACATTTTAGCTCTCCTAAAGTACACAGAGCATGATGAGAGTAAAATTAAAGTAAGTTATCCTTTTTTCTCATTTATAAACATAGAAGAACTTTCATTGAGGAAAAAAAAATATTTTAGTCAGTCAACAATAAGTCGTACAGCTCCCTTTGTTGTGAATTCTTGTTTTGTAGTGTATCCTCAATTGAAAATCTTTCAAGCACATCTCTGTTTTGCTCATTCTTGAATTACAGAGTAATTACTTATTTTCTTTTTTTGTATTGTGACAGTTTTAGAATATTCCAGTCTCTTATAGCAGTGTTAGAATTGACATGAAAGCAATTTTTCTGCTTTTTGTTACATCCTTTTTTTAGTTTTATGAAAAAAAAGATTAAGAGTAACATTCAAAACCATTTTCTTATTTGTTGATGCCTTTAAGAGTTTTTTGATGTGCTGCTGTCTGAAACTGTCCGTTTTGATAAAGGCTGCAGAACTAGTGAATACAAGAAATATATACCAAAGATCCAAGATTTAATTTTTTCTTGATATCTAAGCAGTAGGAGAATACTTAATGTCATTAGTCTTAGTAACCTCTTTAATAGATATCATGCTTATAGTTATATATGAAGATGGCAATGAACATTCTTGATTTCTTTCAAGTGTCCAGTAGATTATGAGTTTACAGTCGATGTGTCTATTTTGCATGTGAATGTTATGATTTTTTGAGGAAAGGACTTGCAAATTGGACATTCATCTTGTAGATGTACTTTTACACATATTATTCACAAGATTATGGAGACCTTTTTCTACTTATGATCCTTTTTTTTATACCTTTATGATAGATTGATGTTGACAGTTGCCCATTTCAGAATTCAGGAAATATATACGTAATTGGTGTATTGAAAAACTATTTTTTATGAGTACTGTCTTCTCACTCAGTAGTTTGTTCACTTGGTATTATCTTTATTAATGAGGTGCACAGTTTTGTGTGCAAAAACTAGTGCTTCCAGTCAAAGGTTATTGAAACCCTCCAGTCTGTTTGTTATCAAAAAGCCTCCCTTTTGATTGGTGACATTACAGTTTCTTGCATTAAAAAAGAAGTCTTCTTTAATTTCATAGAGTTAACAGAGAAACCTAATTTCATATCAAGTGACTAAAATGAAATATAGTCTCTGTTAATAGCATTTTCCAGATCTCATTCTAAGTATTTTGCCATGTATGACCATTATCTTTCTTTTATGAACTCCACATCATATTATAGGCTTTATTTGAAATTTTGTTTCATGGATTTATGGAAATTCAGAATCTGTTTGGATACACTAGATATAAGTTTAGAATGTTTCTAAAATTATAATATATTGTGAAGGATGGAAATTTACTGTTTGAAATCTTGGCAAGATTTTACAAGATTTAATTATTTGTAGCTAAGTACTCTTGGCATGAATTAATAGTTTACAGGTTTATAATAAACAGGAAGAAAGTAAAAAAGAGAACACATTGCTGAAAAAGTGCATATAAATAATATATTCATATTTAACACAAATATTAAGTAGAAAAA